GATCGACACACGTGCACAATTCCTCGCAGTAGTCAAGGCACTACCGCACGAATTCAACAGGTACGTAACACCTAGTATGTTTACTAGTGATGTTTCCGATCCTTACGAAATCTTAAAACGCTCGATTCTTAAACGAGGAGATCTAACCGATCGACAAAGGTTAGATCAACTCTTCAATAACATCGACCTGAAACACGGTTCTGCGACAGACATGTTGCAACGGATGAGAGAGGTTATAGGCCTAAGAACTTTCGACGAAGGTCTATTCAAACAACTCTTCTCGTCAAAACTTCCCCAACAGGTGCAAGCAGTTCTGGTCTCGTTCCAGAACAACGGCTTAGACGAGCTAGCTGCATCTGCCGACCGCATTCTAGAAATTACGAAATCTACTGCCGAGGTATTTTCAGTCAAAGAAAAGCCTCACACGACTCAGGACGATATAACCGACTTATGTCACACACTCACGCGTTATCTTAGTCTTCGTACCGACCGTAAGAGATCGCGCACACCACATAGAAGCATTTCTCGTAAGCGATCTGTCTCTAGACCACGAGAGACGGATAACCGCGACTGGTGCTGGTATCATAACCAGTATGGAAAGCTTTCCAGAAATTGCAGAAAACCCTGCAATTTTCCCAACACGAAACCGACTGATTCGAAAAACAATTCGGGAAACTTCCACGCCGGCACGCGTTAACGGCAACCGTAGCCGGCGAACATAGCCGTCTGTCATACGTCACAGATGTGACAACGAGAGTTCGCTACCTCGTCGATACTGGCGCAGAAGTTAGCGTTCTCCCAGCGAATCCCAACGATCGGCTTCAAGAATCGGCTCTAAACTTACAGGCGGCAAACGGAAAACCGATCGCCACGTATGGCAAAAGGTACGTTTACCTTAACGTGGGTTTACGCAAACCCATCCATTGGATTTTCGTTGTTGCAGATGTTTCTATACCAATCATTGGTATGGACCTTCTACAACACCACAATCTGATCATCGACACTCGCAAACGGAGGCTGGTAGACGGAAACACTAATTTGTCCGTTTGCGTAACTCCTTTTACTGGTTGCAGAGTATCCCCAGTCACAGTTAAACATATGATAGACCCACTCTATCAACCACTACTCGATAAGTACCCTGGGATACAACAAACTTAACCGAAACTACCGTGTGTAACCAGCAATGTTACACATCACATCACGACTACAGGACCACCTGTATTCTCTAAAGCACGACGACTAGCTCCCGAAAAGCTAAGGTTAGCGAAAAACGAATTCGATCACATGATGGACTTAGGAATCATACGACCGTCAAGTAGCCCATATGCATCTCCGTTGCACATGATCCCTAAAAAGGACAGCAACGATTGGTGTCCAACTGGTGACTATCGGCGATTGAACGCGAAAACCATTCCCGATCGTTACCCGTTGCCTCACATTCACGATTTGACAGCTACCTTGAAAGGTACAACTGTCTTTTCGAAAATCGACTTGGTTAAAGCATATAACCAAATCCCTATGGCTACTGACGATATACCAAAAACAGCTATCATAACTCCCTTCGGACTCTATGAATTTTTGCGAATGCCTTTCGGTCTAAGGAACGCTGCTCAAACATTCCAAAGATTCATAGACGACGTTTTTCGAGGTCTCAACTTCGTACACGCGTATGTTGACGACAGTTTAATCGCAAGTCCGGACAGAGAAACACATCTCAAACATCTGGATCTTGTTTTCGAACGACTACAAAAACATGGCATTACTGTAAACGTTCAGAAATGCCAATTCGGAACCGACTCGTTAGATTTCCTAGGACACACTATCGATGCTCAAGGTATCCGACCCCTTAGAACCAAAGTGGCGGCCATTCTGGGTTACCCAGAACCGACCACCGTCAAGCAATTGCGCACGTTCAACGGCCTGGTAAGCTTCTATAGACGTTTCATACCGAAATGCGCATTACTTATGAAACCTCTGACGACCAACTTCGTGGAAATGCGAAATCCATTAATTTGGACGACACCGCACGAAAAGCATTCTCCACAGTTAAGGAACTGATTGCTAAAGCAACAATGCTCGCACATCAGGACACCGAAGCACCCATTAGTATCGCAGTAGACGCATCCGACTCAGCAATCGGAGGAGTCTTACAACAATGGGTTAACAACTCCTGGCAACCCTTGGCATTTTTCTCTAGAAGGTTGCTAGACACCGAATCGAGGTACAGCACATTCGGTAGGGAACTCCTAGCTATGTATTGTGCTGTACGGCATTTCCAACACTACATCGAAGGTCGTGAATTCACTCTTTTCACGGACCATAAACCACTCACTTTCTCGTTAAGCTCTCCTTCTGACAAGTACTCTCCCCGTGAGTCTCGGCAACTGGACTACATTTCGCAGTTTACTTCAGATATTCAACATATTTCTGGAGCAAACAATGTAGTTGCAGACGCCCTATCTCGCATAACTTCGTTAAACAGTTTCCAAGGAATCGACCTTCTTAAACTCGCCGAGCTTCAAAAAGAAGACAGTGATCTTCAGCACGAGTTATCGTCCACAACACTTAAACTACGCATCAAACAGATGGGAACAGGTAAGGAAACCTTACTTTGTGACACATCTACAGGTAGGGATCGCCCAATCGTGCCGAAACATTATCGACGCAATGTCTTCAACACATTGCACAAACTTTCGCATCCAGGTGTTCGTGCAACCATCAAGCTTATAGCAGAAAGGTTTTGCTGGCCTGGAATGAATAAAGACGTGAGGGAGTGGGCACGCTCCTGTGTAAGCTGCCAAAAATCTAAGGTCATCAGACACAATAAATGTCCCTTAGGCTCGTTTAAAACTCCCGATGCTCGTTTCGACCATGTTCATTTGGATTTGGTAGGACCTTTACCAGATTCAAATGGATACTCTTATCTCTTAACCTGCGTAGACCGTTTCACTCGATGGCCAGAAGCAGTACCTATCAAGGACATCACTGCTGAAACAGTGGCCCGCACCTTCGTCGAACGATGGGTAGCAAACTTCGGCTGCCCTTCAACCATCACTACAGACCGCGGACGTCAATTTGAATCTGATCTTTTCCGTCGTCTGACCACTCTTTTAGGAAGCACTCGCTTCCGAACGACCGCCTACCATCCACAAGCAAACGGGTTGGTAGAACGTTTTCACCGACAACTGAAAGCTTCGCTATCAGCTGCAAACGTTTCACAGTGGACCGACGCTCTTCCACTCGTCTTACTAGGTATCCGCAATGCAGTGAAAGCTGACATTGGATACACTGCGTCTGAACTCGTTTATGGTACGACACTTCGACTTCCAGGAGAATTCGTGGATCCTTCATCCTCTTCAATGAACATGGATCTAACCTCCTACACGAACAGGCTTACAAACGCAATGCGTTCAGTTAAACCTGCTTCCACTCGACCACAATCAACTGATGTTTTCGTTCAACCTGACTTACGATATAGTACACACGTTTTCGTTCGTCGAGACTCGCATCGACGACCATTCGAATCAGCATACGAAGGACCCTTCAAAGTTCTTCAACGTGAATCTAAGTACTATATAGTCGATAAGAACGGAACCAACGATAGCATCAGCATCGATCGCTTAAAAGCAGCGTATTTAGAAGGAAATCCTATCTACGTGGATTTTCCTTCGGTACAATCGAACGACACGACTCCGACACTTATAATACCTCATTCGACAACCAACACACACGATGATACTTCGACAGTATCCGAAAATAAACTTAAAACGACGCGTTCTGGAAGAAGGGTGAGATTTCCAGAACATTTAAACGACTATTGCACGTAAGGCACTTCTCGAAATTTCATATTATTTTTTTTAAAAAAAAACAATTTTAATATGCTTATATATTTTTATTTCTATAAAACAAAAAAAAACAAAAAAAACAATTTTTTTTAACGCTATTGCGTGTTCATGAGTTTATTTTCCATTTTTTTTCCGCCGACATTGTGCTTTTACGCACATACGAGTGTATTTTCGACATGCACTTACATTTTCTTTTTTCTTTTCCAGGACGGCTGGAAAAGAACGATGACGTTTATGAGGATCCGAACTTTTCATTGTACATTTTCTTTTTTTACTATGTTGTACCACCGTCCTATATAGTAAGGAAAGACGACCAGACGCTGCTACACTTAGTAAGCTATCAGAAGAGTGTTTACCAACGACAAAGTCGTTGGGTTTAAACTTCTGGCTGGCCACGTCTTAGGGACATCACTGCCCCACTAGGGGGGGGAGTGATCTGTAGCGGTAAATAAATCCCTAAAATAAATAGCTCTGTAAGTTTTCGACATTGGATGCTGACCATATGTTTTAGTGGACTCATCTAGCTGAAGGCGCTCGGTCATGCATCCGCACCAGATCACATGTGGTAACGCCGTGCTCAACATCAACCGCAATCATTAGCCAGATTAGATCAGAGCATTCCGATATATTGGTCATCGCCAAATATACTCTTCCGATCTCCTCGACTCTGTCTTTTGATGTCTCTGGGTGGGAACGAAATATATTAGAAGGTGTTACTGGTAAAAGCGTTGTCAAACACTGAATACCTGTGACATCATCAAGGATTTATATACCGCTGTAATGTAAATCAGACTAACCATTTGTTGAAGGAGATGAGCTGAAGGGCGCAATCGAACGTGGACTGACGTGGATGCCAAAACTCACCGCATGCAATTCAAATTTGAGGCTAGGGTAAAACAGATCACAGTCCTTTCCCAACGTAGTCTGAAGTCCAAAAACCAAGATCAAACCGTCTACGCCTGGAGTCTCGTTTCTCGAACAGAGTAGTGAATTACTGGAATTCTCTACCAGGACGTGTAATATCAGCAACTTCTGTTAATATATTAAAAAAGAGATTAGAACTTTACCATATTTCAAACTACAGGGATAAATACAGGTCGACAGATATTCTATCCTTATGACTGAAGACTGAAGACAGGTCAGAATATTCATCATTGAAAAAGGGTGCGTTCCTTGAACATTTCGTAACGGTATGCATGATCTGTTAAGTCGTGACTATTCGCTTGTGTTCAGTAATACGGGCCATGCAGTTAGCAGAACTAAAAAGAGCCCGAACTCTCTTTGGAGATAATAATGGGGTATTTAATACAAACTGGTCCTGAAAGCTCCCTCAAATAATCAGTTTCGTATGAATTCATGTAAAGCTGACTACTTGTCTCTGTAGTAAAGGAAGTTACTATATAGTATTATTTTGTAGCGGAAATATCGTTGCTCTTCATTTCTAACCTTTATTCACTTCTTGGGTTTTTGTGTAACGTTGTTACTGTAGCGGCCCAATCTCCCTTAATATATCAAATATATATCCTCAATATTGAGGAAACTTCTATCACTTTGGGTAAATACCTATAATATGTTCTTGAAAAATGAGTCTAATAACCTAAAAATTTCCTTCGGTCTAGAGGAAACTGCGGTTCTTTTTAGGAATACACTGAAATTGGAAGGTTGGTCGGCTAAACTAACTGCTTTGAGTCTCGATTTTATGACCGTCTTAATGTGAAGCTTGTGTCACTGCTGATTGTTGTCGATTACTTTTGGCTTTAAGTGTAATTGCATTTCATGCGTTTGTTAGATTTTCGACACACCTTTGTAGTCCTCACACGCTACTCTGCATGTTCATTTGGTACACAAAGTACCTTCTGCGTAGAAGCGAATCGCCACAATCACTGTTCATTTTGTTGAGGCCAGTGGAATAAACAGTGACAATTCCAGGAAGGTTTGAAGGATTTCCTTCAGAGGTTAAGTTCATTTGGGTGACACTATTCGTCTAGCACAAGACTACTACTAACACCTATCCCAGTGAGATGTAGGATTCGGATGACCGATGCGCCAGTTCGTCAAGTTATAGCACTAAGAGCAATCGGGATTATTATAGAATGTTATGATTTTGGGTAAAAATGTCCTTCAAAATTTAGTCAGTCAGACATCAAAATATCGTTAAGAAATATTAACGATATAGGATTTAAACTTTACCTCACTTTTGGTTAATCTTATCAGTATCTTTATTTAATCCTACTTTTACTGTTTTTTACCTTTATGTCTATTTGTCAGAATTTTTGGTAGTACTGATCATAGTATAGAAGTTAAGGAGCTTGAAATCAGTCTGGATTGCCAGTTTCCAAATTGTTAATAAACTGTAGCGGGTTGTCGTATTCTTGCGTTATCTACCAGGCCTTGGGTAATGCGACTTTATGCTTGGTGACTACAAACCTGTAGAGTATCAACAATAATTTTCATAGCTGTGTAATATTATTATTCATCTAAATTTTATTTATTGCACAGATGTGTGTGGTTTTCGAGTTGTATGTTTATGTTTCCCAGCAGTTAAGTTGATAACTCATAATCTGATCGCAAAGCACATCTTTCGTACCTTGATACTACATGAATAAAGACTATCAGGAGGAATTTCTGAGCCCATGTTTTTTGCTAATTTAGACTTATCGGTAAGGTCTTGAAATTCTGAGGAAAATATTACTCTTCTCTTGATCCGAACCCTTAGTCAACCTGTGCTAGTCAGAAAAATTACCTACGAGCTATTTACTTCTCTGATAGCCTCCCTGCAGGACTAATATATTTACATTTGTCTATCTCTGAGTGTTAATCATGGTCGTGTTTGTTTAGTTCCTGATAATGACCAACAGAATTCGATCATTGATGTACTTTTGTTGGAAGTATGGACAAACCTTGGCAATAATTATAAATATTATTTATCGAAAATAATGATGAGAATTAGTCTCAAGTTTTGATGTATTCACTAACGTAATGTAAGATAATCTCATGGTAACAATTTGCTATTTTACTGAGTAAACAAGAATGTCCCCAAAATTACATGGTAGTTACTTACTGACTTTCATAAGAGGTAAATTTACCATATTACGTCTAGAATATTAAAGATTCCCATTATGAAAATTAGAACAACACATATCACGTCTCACTGTCAATCACTTATACTCTTAACATAGATGCACTCGTTCATCATATACTTTATTCAGTCATTCTTATTACAATTAGTTGCTTAAATACAATACCTCGGTAACTGATGACATCACCAGCATCGACTCAGTAGTTTTATTCAAAAGTTCTTGTTTCACGTACGATTATTTAGCGTTTTATGAATTTTTAAGGCAGATAACTTCAACTTCTCTAATTTATTCCAACAAAAGGGATTATAGTTTGTGTTTTGTGTGCGGGATTGTTTACTACGTTTTGAGGTTTTTCGATATTTTAATCTCAGCAAATAGCTCTTGCTCCTTCATTTTTTGTGTTGATTTTCGATACTTAGTTTGTGTTTTTTTAGTGCTGTATACAATAATCGTCAATTGACGAACTTACACGATGATTTCTTCTCGTTTCGGGATATGCCAGTCAGCTATTACAAAATGTATAAAACAGCATGCTTTGGCGTATCACAAGAATGTCATAGATCATTATGAGAACCCTCGTAATGTAGGCTCATTCGATAAGAAAGACATGTCTGTCGGTACTGGTTTGGTTGGTGCACCGGCCTGTGGAGATGTTATGAAGCTCCAAATAAAGGTAAGGCATCCATTCTAGGTAAAACTATTTTTAAGTATGTATTTATAGGTTATTACATGAACCATGACATGCTACTTGCACGTCTTCCTGTGTTCTGTAGAAGTAGTTTTTTCCTAAATCACAACTGAGGTAGTTCAGTCAGAAATAATCGTCCAACATTCACCAGGTTTAGGTATTTGCTAAGTAGATTTGATTTTATGATGATGATAATGATCACTTCCAAATTTATACTTCAAACAAGACTTACTACATAAGTATGAATTACGTCAAGATGTATGCTTTTTGATGTAATGAGGAATAGTTCTTCAGAGTACTTGTCTCCATTGGTATCCTTTTTAAATAATTCCTAATAATTCCTAACGATCCCAACATTGCTGATCCTTTTGTCAGACTTTGTAAAAACAGGGAACTAGAAAGTTGACTATCAGATGAAAAGACAAAGATTCGTTTATATCTCAGTGTTAACTTTTGTAAACTTGTGTGGAGTTAATGATCAGCAACGAAAGGCAGGTACTGTTATAGATTTATTTTTCAAGTTTAAACCGTTGTCTAGACAAAAATCGGAAATTCGAACGTCACATTTTTAATCTAATAACTATTTACTATATTTCCGTAAAATTTATATATGTTTAAACAGTAGTGAGATGCCAGGTATTTTGACTATTCTCCCTTTTTTAATCTCGTTTTCACACGTAAAAATCTATTCTTGGTGCATTTCTTTTATTTTCAGGTGGATGAAAATGGGAAAATAATAGATGCAAAGTTTAAAACATTTGGTTGTGGTTCCGCAATTGCATCCAGTTCACTGGCGACTGAATGGGTTAAAGGCAAAACAATTGATGAAGCTGCAAAAATAAAAAATAGTGATATCGCCAAAGAACTAAAACTTCCACCTGTCAAATTGCACTGTTCTAGTAAGTCAGTACCAATTAATTTTACATTCATTATTTGTTAACCTATTCTGAATGTAGCGTTTCTTTACAAAACATACAAATAAGTAGCACAACGTAAGTAAATTTCATGAATTGGATTGTTAGCTCGAATCTCTATAGCTTGTGGTGTGTGTAAAAAATGAGGACGAAATAAACTTTGCATCACTTTGGGTTTATCATAACAATACCTGTTCTTTGGAGTTAAATCTCTATCTCTTCATCCTAAGACAATTCAAAAATGGTACATTGTTGTAAATTTATCAAAAAATGTTTCTTTTGTTCAAGGCTAATTATGTTTCAAAGTTGGTGAAATCTTTATTACTCACTAAATTCGAGTTCTGTAAATCTCCATCAACTTAGGTAGCTTGGATTTATTAAAAAGATATATATTTGCTGTCTATTTCAACGTGTAATGTTGACTAGGATATGAGTAACTTTAGAAGATTGAAAATTGACAAACCGAAACTTGGCACCAGTTTATGAAACAGTTGATTGCCTATTTGATCAGTGTAGGGTAGCTGTAAGCTATAGTTCAAGTTGACATGGTTGAAAATTGATCTTGGTAGTTTATATATATATATTGGTGTCTACACATTCTTGCTTCGCTATGTTTTAAAAATTTTCTTTGGTTCTAGTATTTTCTCTTATTTTTCTGTTTGATATTTAGTGCTTGCCGAAGATGCTATCCAGGCTGCTATTAAAGATTACAAGAAAAAGTCTACTTGAGTATTACTTTATATGCACAAATCAATCCCAATCATATTCGACGTCATAATTTCTCATCTCACTTGGATAGACATTATTGTAAATCATAAGCACTATATTGAAAGTAATTTTGTCATCTAACAAATTTAACCATAGATACAGAGATACTCTCATAAAAATAAAACTTATTTTCATCTACTAAAGAAGTGTTCTTGTTCATAAATTTCATGTTAGAATGTCTGTAGTTGTTTGTTTATTTTCAATATTTCAATGTCTTATATACAACTCTATGATATTAATATATTATGTGTTTTTATAGTGTTAGGGTCATTTATCAATAGAGCATATTGAAAGCTTTGGGAAAGTCTTGATGCTGTATTGTTTAATGCTGCATGCAGTGAACGAAATATTGCTTAGTAATCTCTAAAATATTTTAGTATACCCGGGGATTGTTTTTGACGTTGGTATTCAATGTTAGTTTGCTTATAAATTTAGTAGAGATTTTGACTAAACTGGTACTGAAAAATTTACCTTTAAGGTTGAAAGCAGTAAATGTGTGTCAGCCTAAGAGCTTATCATAGAAATAATGGTAATTGATCCCGAAATACAGTTTTTAGCGGCCGGTTGTCATTTATGCTTCTACTAGATAGTTGTATTTTTCCCTTTGCAAATTTGCCTACTAACAAGTAATCACTTTTAGAAGCATTTTAAAAAGTATTATTTTAGTAGAAATCACGTCTTACTTAGATTTTACATTTTATGTCATATCGTCCCTCCATCACTAGGATGTAGTCATGCGAACCCTTAGGATCAAAGTTTTTTTATTTCAATAAATTATAAATGAAAATGGACGTAATATCAACCATACACTAGTTCATCGAAGCTAGAACACCAGTCATTTTAGGCAGGGGATATAAATATTCAAGCCAGATATACAAAACTTTACCTGGCGAATGAATCACTTAGTAACTGCAAAATTATAGAGTAAACCAAATGCATAATATTCTAATTATGTTCAATACCTTGTAATGTTTTGGATGATTTTGTTGAAATAATTTTATTCACTTTTAGAAATTTATCTTTTCAAGAGTAGATAGCGAGTAAGATTTTGCTGCATTAGATTCATTCTGTTGTTTGTATGACCTGTTTATATCAGAAACGATAGTACGTAACATATTTCTGGCTGAACTCCACAGGACGCTTATTATTTTACAAGATTATTGGAAATTTTTATTGTCGTTTACCTCTACTATTCATTCTTTTATGTCAGTTCAGAATCTACGAATTTAATTTTAAAACTAGATTTTATCTAAATACTAAATTTACCTTACACAATTTGCTTGAGGCAAGTTATTTATAAATTGGAATCAATATCTTCTCGTTTTCTCCATCATAGTTTCCCGTTTTATAGTTCTGTGTTCGTTTCAACCACCGACTGTCCCGATGAGCTATGCTTTATAGTGTAGGAATAGGTTGGAAGAAAGCTACGGACGGCCAGACCAAAACATGGCACACATCCATGAAGTCACTGGCAAGTGGACTGAGTCATGTTAGTAGGTATAGACTACCTGGTTGGGATTCGCGAGACGATAGCAACCGATAGTTAGAGACCTTGAGTGAAATGACTCCAAATCGTTTGCAATCGCACAGGTGCATCCTCTCTCTGTGTTCTCCCAAATTCTAATCTTCTGAATTCTTCATGTCCCTTCTCTCTTTCTCTTTCCAAATTCATTTCACTGTATTATACTCCTTGAATAACATGTTCAAACCCTAATCTTTCCGATTACTGCTTATACCTTTACTGCCTTTACCACTACGGAATTTGAATTGACAATTGTATCTGTGTGCTAATGTGGTATGACAACTCGAACTGATGTACGTACGTACGAAGTTCCACGTTGGTACTGACTGTCTGACTAACTTTTCATTGGTCAAATAAACAAAAACGTGGTTTCTACCGATTAAAATAAAGTTAAATGTTGTAGTTGTAGGTATACCCAAAAGGAGAGTTGAAGGTTGCTGATCTGTGGATATTTACATATTTCGGTTTTTGAACTATTTTTCCAAATCTTGTATTTATTTGTTTAAACACTTAAGTATTGGTGCGAAGTTGCACCAAAATATATATGCACCACACCAAATTTGCGTGTGTGCTGGAATACTGGCCAGGTGTCCAAACCGAAGCAGGTGGTTTTCTTTGAAGTCCACCCCCAAGCCTGGTCTCGAGCCTTAATCTACGGAGCAGTTGAACAACGTTAGGCTATACGATCTCATAGAACCAGGTGGTGACGAGGAATAAGTTCATATCTCGTTTGGTCCCTCAGGGTCCTGTAGCCTATGTGGAGCATTGGTTTGAAACCAGGGTTTTCCGACTCCCCTTGGTAAGTGTTCCGTACCCACCCACCCGGTTCAATCACTGGAAATTCGCTTTTTGTCCTCTCAATTTTGTAAAAAGTCCTGTGCCTTAAGTAGGGAATGAGCAGGACATATTTGGTAGTGGATATATATGCTTGTCCATATGAAACCAACCTCACCATTTCCAGGGCATTTGGGGATTTAAATCTTTTAGCGATATTCTTGTTCAAGAACTAACTCAGTTAATCTAATTTTACCTCATTAATGCAACTCTTATTGTTCTTAGATGTTTTTATAGTATCTGAAATATGAATGGAATTCTAATGTCACTCCTTAACTGGAATTAAACAAAAAACTCTACGAAATGCTACCTTCTCTTAATAGTGATTAATTAATATTGTAAGATTTGGAAGGAAATAATTCAATTAAACTGTTCTTTTTTATTTCTGTGGTGATGGAGTTTTGTTTCCTGAGCTGAGATGGATGGATCCAGCTCAGAGAACAAAACTCCACCAAAATCATCCGCCTGAGCTACAAATCTTCTCCACCATCTCATTTCTGTGTTGTTTTTTTAAAATGTTTTGTTTTCTGCAAAAATCTACAATTATATTGTAATTATATGTATATTGCTGATGTTATGTTTATTGAACAAGATGATTTATGCAACACAACATCTTTAACATCATAATCTTGAATTACAAATATTCTTTATTATTTCAAAATTATTTATTTCTATCCATAATCTAAATAATAATGATTTATTCACTAACATTAATAATCTTGTAAAAATATTAGAATAGATTAAAACTATTTTATCTATTATATCGCTATTAAAATGTCAACAACGAAAGAGTTTATTATAAAATGGTGGAGAAGATTTGTAGCTCAGGCGGATGATTTTGATGGAGTTTTGTTCTCTGAGCTGGATGGTTTGGTCGCGTATTCCGTAAGTTCTAAGTGATGACTCTAGTGCTGCGAAGAATTCCAGTTTTGACGCGTCGCTTGTGTTGTAGTTCAATCCCTTTCGGAGTAGGTGTTCTTCTATATTTGTTAGTGGTTGTTTTGACAGGTTGACCACGCAGTTGTTTGTGTTTTCTTCCATAGATAGTTCTGAGATCTTGATTAGTTTCTTCCTTAGGATGTTTCTTCTTTGTTCTCTGTGTCGTTTGCATGATATCTCGATGACTGTTGTCCAGATTTCCAAATGTTCTGACGTGAGTGTTCTTTGTAGCTTCATCTTTTGGTCCTCTATGATGTGTTGGTATTTGCGTATCCTGTAATGTTTATCCGTTACCATTAGGTGTACCATTTTTCTCCCACTACTTTGCTCAGCTATTTTCCATCCCAGTGGGCAGTTGATTGGAGGTCTGTATCTTACACTTGTTGGTAGAACATGCTTGCGAAGACCAAAACATCCTACTCAGAGAATAAAACTCCATCAAAAGTTTATTATAAAGTAAAACAACAATAAAAATAAAACAAGTTAGAATATTTTGGATATTTGATACAGAGATTAATAATGTTTATATTTAATAGATTGTGATAATATCATGTATTGAAATATAATCCTCAAGTATATATAATAGTCCATATTCGAAATAGTATAGTTACAAAAGTTTCAATATTGAAAATGAAACTATTTTCTATCATTATATAAAGCATAATTCTTTTTATTGTCGTTTATAATGACTCTAATCGATGTCCAATTCTCTGTTGTAAATATTTATTATTCAATGTTAGTTTTCATTATGAACTAGAATCAATTAAATAAGCATTAAAAATTCAAAAAGGATTAGATAATTGTTTTAATACCTATTTAAAATTATTTAGTAGTATATAACCAAGACTATATTATGGAATTAAACCATAATTTGAACATGAGCTGGATAATTTCGGACTGTTGACTTTGAATGTTGTGAATTTCACTTGCAACCAGGAATTTGATTTCTTTTTTTCTTCTTCAGAGTAATCATATTCGAACGTCAATATTAACGCAAATCTTATCAAATAACAGGAAATTTGTGATTTACTGTACTTGTATACGTAGTATTGTTTAGACATACTATACATACAGTTGATTTTATGATAGGTTTCTTGTCCGTACCATTTGGTGACCACAAATCAAAAAAATTCTCCATGCTGTGCACTTTCATCGACAATTGAGTTTTCATTGAGATGTATGATGAGTAAATGCAATTTCTTCTTGATTTATATCGTTATTTATAGTTCTATATGTGAATGGAATTACATATTGAGCGGTCGTCTTTTAGTTTCAATCTTTACTGTCTATTTTAATTTGAGTATTGCTAATCCTTTATTCAGTTGATTGATTTATCGAATGAGATCCATTTTTGATGAGTTGTTCACGATTAGGATGGGGATCTGAACAATCATAAACGCTTGAGGACTATTTGTTCTACTTTTCATGTCTTTGGTAAACTTCTTATAGACTTCTGTTTTGAGATTCAGTCAGTCAGTAACAACGTAGAACTTCGTACGTACGTACATCAGTTCGAGTTGCCACACTACATTAGCACAGAGATTCAGTTGTCGATTCAAATCCCGTAGTGGTAGAGGTAATAAGAGTATAAGGAGTAATCGGGAAGATTAGGGTTTGGAGATGTTATTCAAGGAGTATAATACAGTGAAATAGATTTGGAAAGAGAAAGAGAGAAGGGACATGAAGAATTCAGAAGATTAGAATTTGGGAGAACACAGAGAGTGGATGCACCTGTGCGATTGCAAACGATTTTGAGCCATGTCATTCAGGGTCTCTAACCATCGGTTGCTATCGTCTCGCGGTCCCCAACCAGGTAGTCTGCACCTACCAACATGACTCAGTCCA